GTGATGGATGTCAGTTTCAGGAAGGGAAATAAAATGCAGATACAGTCAGGTAGACGGGTAACCTCTAAGAAAGGTAGTGGAGGGAGGCAGGTCGTGCAGGAGTCTCCTGTGGCTATCCTCATCTCAAACAAGAATGCTGTTTTGGAAAATGTAGGGGGTGATGGGCTCTCAGGGGAATGTAGCTCTGACAGCCAGGTTTCTGGTACTGAGACTGGCTCTAATGTAACTAGGGGTACGTTAGCTTCCAAGCAATCAATTATGACAGGGGACTTTCTCTTCAGAGGCACAGACAAGCATTACTGCGGCTGGCAACAGGATATCAGAATGGTGTGTTCCCTCTCAGGCACCAGGGTCAAAGATGTCTCAGAGGACGCAGAGCAGAATATTCTCAAAGGGAAAAGAGACCAGCAGGAGGACATTGTATACATTGCAACCAATGACATAGGAAGAGAAAAAGATAAGGTTCTGAGGAGAGAATATAAGAAATTAGGCAGTTTAAGAAGCAGTTCCTCGGGCAGTAATATATGGATTACTCCCAGTCCCATGAGCTAGTGAGGGTAGGAATAGGAAGATGGAGCAGATGAATGTGTGGCTGAGGAGCTGGTACAGGGGAGAAGAATTCACTTTTTTGGATCTTTGGAATCTCTTCTGGGCTAAAAGTGACTTTGTATGAGAAGGGCAGGGTGCACCTGAATTGGAAAGGGACTGATATACTGGTGGGGAGATTTACTGCAGCCAGATGGGAAGATTTTGAGAAACAAATTTGCAAGGAGATCTCAGTTATCTGTGAGAATAATAGGGTGGTTATGGTAGGAGATTTTAACTTTCCAAACATAGACTAGGACTGCCGTAGTGTTAAGGACTTGGATGGAATGGAATTTGTTAAGTTTGTACAAGAAAATTTCTGATTCAGTATGTGGATATACCTACTAGGGAAGGAGCAAAACGTGATCTACTCTTGGGAAATAAGGCAGGGCAGGTGAATGAGGTGTCAGTGGGGGAGCACTTTGGGGCCAGTGACCATAATTCTATTAGTTTTAAAGTAGTGATGGAAAATAATAGACTGGATGTAAAAGTTAAAGTTCTAAATTGAAGGCAGGCCAATTTTGATGGTATGAGGCAAGAACTTTCAAAAGTTGATTGGGGGGTGGGTTATATTCGCAGGTAAAGAGATGTCTGGAAAGTTGGAAGCCTTCAAAAACGAGATAATGAGAGTCCAGAGATGGTATGTTCCTGTTAGGGTGAAGGGCAAGGCTGGTAGGTGTAGGGAATGCTGGATGACTAGAGAAATTGAGGTTCTCGTCAAGTAAAAAAAGGAAGCATATGTCAGGTACAGACAGCAAGAATCAATTGAATCCCCAGAAGGGTATAAGGGCAGTAGGAGAACACATAAGAGGGAAATCAAGAGGGCAAAAAGGGGACATGAGATAGCTTTGGCAAATAGGGTTAAGGAGAATCCAACAGGATTCTACAAATAGATTAAGAATAAAAGAGTAACTATGGAGAGAATAGCACCGCTTAAAGATCAGCAAGGCTGCCTATGTGTGGAACCACAGGAGATGGGTGAGATACTAAATGAGTATTTTGTATCAGTGTTTACTGTGGAGAAGGACATGGAAGCTGGAGAACTTGGGGAAACTTGCTTTATGACTTGGGTGTCACTGTCTGCATGAATGTCTTAAAATGCATAAAGGTGTATAAATCCTCAGGACCGGATCAGGTGTACCCTAGAACTTTGTGGAAAGCTAGAAAGGTGATTGCCTGGGCCCCTTGCCGAGATATTTGTATCATCGATAACCACAGGTGAGGTGCCGGAAGGCTGGAGGGTGGCTAATGTGGGGCCATTATTTAAGAAAGGTGGTAAGGAAAATCTAGGGAACTATAGATCAGTGAGCCTGACGTCAGTGTTCCGAGGAAGGGTCACCAGACCCGAAATGTTAACTCAGATTTTTTCTTCACAGATGCTGCCAAACCTGCTGAGCTTTACCAGCAACTTCTGTTTTTGAGCCTGACGTCGGTAGTTGGCAAGTTGGAGGGAATCCTGAGGGACAGGATTTACATGTATTTGGAAAGGCAAGGACTGATTAGGGATAGTCAACATGGATTTGTGTGTGGGAAATCGTGTCTCACTAACTTGATTGAGTTTTTTGAAGAGGATTACTGAAGGCAGAGGGGTGGACATTGTCTATATGGACTTCAGTAAAGAGTTTGACAAAGTTTTGCATGGTAGACTGGTTAACAACATTAGATCACATGGAAAACAGGGAGGACTAGCCATATAGATACAAAATTAGTTCAAAAGCTGAAGACAGAGGGTGGTGGGGAGGGTTGCTTTTCAGACTGGAGGCCTGGACCAGTGGTGTGCTGGAAGGATCAGTGCTGGGTCCACTGCTTTTTGTCATTTATATAAATGATTTGGATGTGAACATAGGAGGTATGGTTAGTAAGTTTGCAGATGACACCAAAATTGGAAGTGTAGTGGACAGCGAAGGAGGTTACCTCAGTGTAAACAGGACTTTGATCAGATGGGCAAATGGGCCGAGGAGTGGCAGATGCAGTTTAATTTAGATAAATGGGAGGTACTGCATTTTGGAAAGGCAAATCAGGGCAGGACTTATACACTTAATGGTAAAGTCCTGGGAAGTGTTGCTGAACAAAGAGAACTTGGAGTGCAGGTTCATAGTTCCTTTAAAATGGAGTCGCAGGTAGATAGAATAGCAAAGAAGGTGTTTGGTGCCTTTATTGGTCAGTGCAATGAGTATAGGAGTTGGGAGGGCATGCTGCAGCTGTACAGGACATTGGTTAGGGCCACTTTTGGATTATTGCGTGCAATTCTGGTCTCCCTGCTATAGGAAGGATGTTGTGAAACTTGAAAGGGTTCAGAAAAGATTTACAAGGATGTTGCCAGGATTGGAGGGTTTAAGCTATAGGGAGCGGGTGAATAGGATGGGGTTATTTCCCCTGGAGTGTATGAGGCTGAGGGGTCACCATATAGAGGTTTATAAAATCATGAGGGACATGGACAGAGTGAATAGTCAATGTCTTTTCCCTAGGGTGGGGGAGTCCAAAACTAGAGGGTATTGGTTTAAGATGAGAGGGGAAAGATTTAAAAGGGATCTGAGGAAGCAACATTTTCACACAGGCTGGTGTGTGTATGGAACGAGCTGCCAGAGGAAGTAGTGGAGGCTGGTACAATGACAACATTTAAAAGGCGTCTGGATGGGTACATGAATAGGAAAGGTTTAGATGAATATGGGCCAAATGCTGGCAAATGGGACTAGATTACTTGAGAATATTTGGTTGGCATAGACAAGTTGGACCGAAGGGTCTGTTTCCGTGCTGTACATCTCTATGACTCAAAAAGAAAATTTCTAAGAGCATTTAAATAAAAACTACAATTAAATTTTGCTGGAGTAGGGCATCTCATTGTATACTCTGTAAAATTGACGAGTTCCTACAGAATTAGGATGTAATTTTTTTTGTTGATGATGTTTCTGGAATTGTGAACTGACAACAGCAAGGTGGGGGCAGTGGAGTTTTCAAGACCTTAAACAACAAGAGCAAATAGTTTATTTCCTTAACTGATCCGCTTACTGGATTTAGAAATGGAGAGAAATGCTCAGGAGAAGGGCAATTGGATTGAGGGAATTTGATGTTAAATTAGATACAGAATGAAACAGCTGGGAAGTGGGAAGAAAGATTGGATTGCCAAACTGAAGATTGGAAAATCAAGTAAAAATAATTTAAGAAAGTTAAATTTAATGATAGCTATGTTAGAAATTTTCAATTTATAACCTGAAGGAATGAAACTCCATAGCCCTGTGGTCTTTCTGTGCAAGAATTTGATTTGTAGTGTTAACAATGACCATTTCATTAAAAGGATACTTTTGCTGTGAATTACGAGACTGACTAGTAAAATTGTGAAATGCAGCAAGATGTAAGAAGCTGGCAGTAGTCCTTGTTTTTGTTAGGCCAATGACCAATTATCTCTTCCATGCTACAATTTGCTAGCCCTTTTGACAGTTAATACTTGCTGTTGAGGTTGGTTGGCTCGCCGAACAACAAAACAGCTCGGAAAGCCAACCAACCTCAACACCCACAACCCGAGCTACAGATCTACTCCAAAACCTTAATACTTGCTGTGTTTAGGTGCTGGCATTTTTCATCAAAGTCAGCCCATAAAGATAAGTGGACGTGGCAGAAAATAACAAGTAGGAGGAAGTGGGGATATTGCGTTATAGTCTTTGAGTTTCTAACATTAGTGGAACTGTTTGCTTTATGACTTGAGTGTCGCTGTCTGCATTAATAAGTAGTGGTGTACTACAGTTGTTGCAATGAAGAAATAAGAAATTTGCAAATGGAAATGGATGGGTTCAGTGAATGGAACAAATTTGTGCAGATGAAATCTAACGTAGATAAGTGTCAAGATATCCATTTTGGTCAAAGGAATAGAAAGACAACTTGTGATCTAAATGGAGAGAAACTTGTGAGTGCTTCGGTGCAGAGGAATCTGGGTGTCCTTGTGCATGCATCACAGTAAACTAGTCTGCAGGTACAGCAGGTAGTAAGGAAAGCAAATGGAATTTTGGAATTTATTGCTAACCGCGTAGAGTATAAAAGTAGGGAAGTATTGCTGCAGTTGTACAAGGCATTCGTGAGACTGTACCTGAACTGTTGCATACAATTTTAGTCCTTTTACTTGAGGGGGATATAGTTATTTTGGAAGCAGTTCAGAGGAGGTTAACTAGATTGGTTCCAGGAATTTGTCTGATGAAGACAGATTGAGCACTTTAGGCCTATACTTTCTGGAGTTTAGAAGAATGAGAGGAGATCTCATTGAGGATGAGCTGATGCCAAAGCGGATTGATAGAATAAACGGAGGAAAGATGTTTCCTCACTTGGGACAATGTAGAATGAGAGGTCTTAGTTTTAGCATAAGGAGTAGCAGGTTTAAATCAGGGATGAGGAGGAATTATTTCTCTCAATGGGTCGTGAATCTGTGGAATTCATTCCCCTAGAGTGCAGTAGATGCTGGAACATTGAGTAAATTTAAGGAGGAAATAGACATTTTTAATAGGTTGAAGGGATAAGGAGAGGAAAATGGAGTTGAGGCTGACATGATATCAGCCATGATTATATTAAATGGCAGAGCAGGCTTGAGGGGCTGAATGGCCTATTGTTGCCCTTATTTCCTGTGTTTTCTCTCATTTTCTTTCTCAGTCTCTCTCTGTTCCTGACCTTCTCACAGTTCCTCTTGATGCTGGCATCTCTGTTTGTCTTCCTCTGCATCCCTCTCTGTCTATGTCTGTTTTTCTCCCTTTCTCTCTCTTTTTTTTCTATTCATTTGTGGGATGTGGGCATCACTGGCTGGCCAGCATTTATTGCCCATCCCTAGTTGCCCCCGCTTGAGAAGGTGGGGGTGAGCTGCTTTCTTGAACTCCTACATGTGCTGTGGGTTGACCCTTAGTGAGATAATTCCAGGATTCTGACCCAGCAACACTGAAGGAATGGCGATATATTTCCAAGTCAGGATGGGGAGTGGCTCGGAGGGGAACTTGCAGGGGGTGGGGGTCCCATGTATCTGCTGCCCCTTGTCCTTCTAGATGGAAGTGGCCGTGGGTTTGGAAGGTGCTGCCTGAGGATCTTTGGTGAATTTCTGCAGAGCACCTTGTAGATGGTACACACTGCTGCGACTGAGCGTCGGTGGAGGGAGGGAGTGGGATGGTTGTGGATGTGGTGCCAATCGAGCGGGGGGCTGCTTTGTCCTGGATGGTGTCGAGCTTCTTGAGTGTTGTTGGAGCTGCCCCCATCCAGGGGCAAGTGGGGAGTATTCCATCACCCTCCTGACTTGTGCCTTGTAGATGGTGGGACAGGATTTGGGGAGTCAGGAGGGGAGTTACTCACCGCAGTATTCCTAGTCTCTCACCTGCTCTTGTAACCACTGTGTTTATGTGGTGGGTCCAGTTGAGTTTCTGGTCAATGGTAACCCTCAGGATGTCGATAGTGGGGGATTCAGTGATGGTAACACCATTGAATGTTAAGGGGCGGTGATTAGATTGTCTCTTATTGGTGATGGTCATCACCTGGCATATGTGTGGCGTGAATGTCACTTGTCACTTGTCAGCCCAAGCCAGGTTATTGTCCAGATCTTGTTGCATTTGGACACAACTGCTTCAGTATCTGAGGAGTCACGAATGGTGCTGAACATTGTGCAATCATCAGTGAACATCCCTATTTCTGACCGTATGATGGAGGGAAGATCATTGATGAAGCAGCTAAAGATGGTTGGGCCTAGAACTCTGGTAGAGATGTCCTGGAGCTGAGATGACTGACCTCCAATAACCACAACCATCTTCCCATGTGTCAGGTTTGACTCCAACCACCGGAGCATTTGCCCCGATACCCATTCATTCCAATTTTGCTCGGGCTCCTCGATGCCACACTCGGTCAAATGCAGCCTTGTTATCAAGGGCTGTCACTCTCACCTCGCCTCTGGAATTCAGCTTTTTTTGTCCATGTTTGAATCAAGGCTGTAATGAGGTCAGGAGCTGAGTGGCCCTGGCAGAACCTAAACTGGGCGTCACTGAGCAGGTTATTGCTGAGCAGGTGCTGTGTGATAGCACTGTTACTGACACCTTCCATCACTTTACTGATGATTGAGAGGAGACTGATGGGGCGATAATTGGCCGGGTGGATTTGTCCTGCTTTTTGTGTACAGGACATACTTGGGTAATTTTCCACATTGTTGGGTAGATCCCAGTGTTGTAACTGTACTGGAACAGCTTGGCTAGGGGAGCGGCAAGTTCTGGAGCACAAGTCTTCAGTACTATTGCCGGAATGTTGTTAGGGCCTGTAGCCTTTGCAGTATCCAGTGTCTCCAACCATTTTGTTATATCACGTGGAGTGAATCGAATTGGCTGAAGACTGGTATCTGTGATGCTGGGGACCACTGGAGGAGGCCGAGATGGATCATCCACTTGGCACTTCTGGCTGAAGATTGCTGCGAATGCTTCAGCCTTATCTTTTGCACTGATGTGCTGGGCTCTTCCATCATTGAAGATGGGGATATTTGTGGAGCCTCCTCCTCCAGTGAGTTGTTTAATTATCCACCACCATTCACGACTGGATGTGGCAGGACTGCAGAGCTTAGATCTGATCTTTTGGTTGTGGGATCCCTTAGCTGTGTCTATCACTTGCTGCTTTTGCTGTTTGGCGTGTAAATAGTCCTGTTTGGTGGCTTCACCAGGTTGATACCTCATCTTCAGGTATGCCTGGTGCTGCCCCTGGCATGCCCTCCTGCACTCTCCATTGAACCAGGGTTGATCCCCTGGCTTGAAGGTAATGGTTGAGTGGGGGATATGCCGGGCCATGAGGTTACAGATTGTGCTGGAGTACAATCCTGCTGCTGTTGATGGGACACAGCGCCTCCAGGATGCACAGTCTATGTTGCTAGATCTGTGCGACGTCTGTCCCATTTAGCACGGTGATAGTGCCACACAACATGGTGGAGGTTATTCTCGATGTGAAGGTGGGACTTTGTCTCCACAAGCCCTGTGCGATGGTCACTCTTACCGACACTGTCCTGGACAGATGCTCCTGCAGCTGGCAGATTGGTAAGGATGAGGGCAGATACGTTTTTCCCCTCTTGTTGGTTCCCTCACCACCTCCACAGACCCAGTCTAGCAGCTATGTCCTTTGGGACCTGGCCAGCTCGATCAGCTGTTGAGCCACTCTTGGTGTTGGACATTGAAATCCCCCACCCAGAGTACGTTTTGTGCCCTTGCCATCCTCAGTGCTTCCTCTAAATGTTGTTTAACATTGAGGAGTACTGATTCATCAGCTGAGGAAGGACGGTACGTGGTAATCAGCAGGAGGCTTCCTTGCCCATGTTCAACCTGAAGCCATGAGATCCGGAGTCAATGTTGAGGACTCCCAGAGCAATATCCTCCCGACTATATCCCATTGTGCCCCCACCTCTGCGGGGTCTGTCCTGCCGGTGACACAGGACATATCCAGGGATGGTGATGGTAGTATCTGGGAACGTTGTCTGTAGGGTATGTCAGCTCTCCCAATTTTGGCACTAACCCCTTGATGTTACTTTGCAGGGTCGACAGGGCTGTTTCTGCCATTGTCTTTTCCGGTGCCTAAGTCGATGCCAGGTGATCCATCCAGTTTAATTTCTTTGAGAATTTGTAGCAATTGGTACAACCTGAGTGGCTTGCTAGACCATTTCAGAGGGCAGCTGAGAGTCAACCGCATTGCTGTGGGTCTGGAGTCACATGTAGGCCAGACCAGGTGAGGGTGGCAGATTTCCTTCCCTGAAGGACATTAGTGAACCACGTGAGTTTTTCCTGACAATCAGCAATGATTTCACGGTGATCAGTAGATTCTTATTTGCAGACTTTTTTTTTAAGTTATCGAATTCTAATTCCACCATCTGCCATGGTTGGATTTGAACCCTGGTCCCCAGAACATTACCTGGGTTTCCTAGATTAATAGTCCAGTGACAATATCACTAGGCCGTCGCCTCCCCATTGTCGACCTCAGGATGCAGTCACAACTTTGACAGTCACACCCCCTGACTTTGAACGGTTCCAAAGTCGCAACCACAGCTGAGAATTTGAACTTCCTTTAACACTGTGCGCAGCATTCTGGCCCAGCGACGGAACACATTTGGAGGGTAATGGCAGCTTACAATCTGGGTGCCCTGGTTTTTCTCCTGCTAGTTCTTCTATGTGCTGGTAAGAACCTGTTGTGTGGCGTTACTCTCGGACTTCCTGTCACCAGTGTCTTCCCAGCTCCTGCTCACCCTCGGAGCGAAGAAGCAGTAATAGCACCTGACCTTTCGCACACCTCACTTTGTCGCTAACATCTATTTTGTCAGCCCTTGTCCATTCCTCCTCTCTCTCTTTCTTCCCCTCTTTCTCTCTCTCTCCATCTTCTTCTCTTTTATCATTTCCTTCAAAGCTGGCTCTGCGTGTCAACTTTTTACGTCTCTGCCTTTCTTTCCTTTTCTTCCGTGGAGTCTGTTGTTCATTTTCTGCTTCTGTGTCTCTCTCTCTCTGTCTATCCGACCCCCTCATTACAGTGAAGTTGCACCTCTTTCCGTCGTTGAACCTCTCCCCACCCACTCGCTGCATTCCTCTCTTCCCCTTTCTTCTTCCCTGTCTCCCTGCTTCTATCCGCCTCTCCCTCCCCACTTTATCCTTGCAAGCTCTCTCTCTCTATCTCCTTTTCCCATCCCCACACCTCACTCTCTCTGTGTTCATTTCAGCTTGACACCATTTACACTTCCCTCGGAGGGCGCTCACTGCCTGGAAATTGAGTTAAACCCACGTATTTCCTGTCACAGGCCTCGCTGAGCTTCATAGCTTTTCTGGTCAACCCTGGGTTCACCTAAATGTCTGGGGACTTTCCAGTCTGATGGTCTGGAGGGCTGAGAGTGGTATTTGCGTGGCTGTGGGGATGATATCAGTAACAACCCTAACCAGCCCCCAGGGTCTATCCGCCTGCAACTGGCTTCATGGTGTCTTGGGGTGAGGCAGCAAGAGACGGATGATGTACATTTCCTTTTTCAAAACCAAAAGTGGAAGTAACCCACCAGTGCTCCAGCCCGTTCCAACATTGCACAAGATCATGGCCGATATGTAATATAACTCTAGGTGTCCTCATCTTCCCACATCCTTTACTGAACCATCAATCTTAGATTGAAATGGAACCATTATCTCTCACCCAACGCCCCCTCTCCTCCACCATTTTGTTTCCATTTTCTTTGCAAGTTTTTGTTCCAATTCTCTTTTTCTTTCATTTTTGCTTCAGGGCAGTGACTGTTCTTCATCTGAGATAACAGGGATTTTACACACTTCAATTAATTTAGCCTTCATTGTTTTAAACTGCATCCTTTTTTCCTCGGAGTTCAGCTCACACGTTCCAGTGAATAACTTCCGTAACCTCATCAGCACTGCCTCCAATGCATTTACAACCTTCCTCAAATATGGAGACTAAAACTGCATAAGTATTCATGAAGTGGTCCCACCAAAGCCCTTATAAAAGCAGCGTAGTGCCCTTACCTTTATGTTCAATTCCTCTGCTATAAAAGATAGCATTCCTTTCCCACCTTGCTGTACCCACAACTGACGATTTGTCATTCTTGCACTGGAACACCTGATTCCTCAGAAATTTGATTTCATTCTCCATTTACACTTCCCTCGGAGAGCACTCACTGCCTGGAAATTGAGTTAAACCCACATATTTCCTGTCACAGGCCTCGCTGAGCATCATAACTTTTCCGGTCAATGTAAATTTGGTGATTTTTTAATTTCATTCTTCCAACGTGAGGAACTGCATATTTTCCCACTTTATACTCTGTCATATTTTTGCCGACTCACTCGACCTATCTGCAATTTCCTTATGATAAAACAAAGAACTGTGGATATGCTGATGGTCTGAAACAGAAACAGAAATTGCTGGAGAAACTCAGCAGGTCTGGCAGCATCTGTGGGGAGAAAACAGAGTTAGTGTTTCGAGTCCAGTGACCCTTCCTCAGAAGGGTTCTGAAGAAGGGTCACTGGACTTGATACGTTAACTCTGCTTTCTCTCCACAGATGCTGACAGACCTGCTGAGTTTCTCCAGCAGTTTCTGTTTATGTTGCAATTTTCTGATGTCCTCTTCGACTTTCCTACCTATCTTCGTTTCATTTGCAGTTCTTTGAGGAAATTTTACTCAAAACAGTAACTCGCATCTTATCTTAGTGACTCTGTTAATTTCAAAAATGAGTTTTTATTCCACAAAGCAACACCAGTTATGTTGGAGTTCCCTGTGGTGTTCTCCTGGTCCCGTGGTCTCTCAGAAGCTTTGAATTCGTACACTTTTAAAAGGAATGAGAGGAATATGGGCCAAATGCTGGCAAATGGATTATTTAGGATATCTAGATGGCATGGATGAGTTGGACCAAAGGGTCTATTTGTACGTTGTAAATTTCTGTGACTCGATGAGTAATTGTGTTGTCCAAGGTCTGGCTGATTTCTAGAAATTCCTCTTTATGGCCTCATTGTGTGATGATGTATCAGGATGTTTTGTTTTTGGAAGTGATGAATCAACACCAGTCATGTTTCTTCTGGGAGGGATCTTGTAAAATTCTACATCTATTTCGAAAAGACACATTTGCCTTCTTTACAAAATATATTGTACTATAATTACACAGCCGTGACATTTGAATGTTTTCCGATTTTTGTTTATTCACTCGTGGGACATAGATATCACTGCCTGGCCAGAATTTTGTTACTACTTGTCCCTACTTGCCCTTGAGAAGGTCATAGAGTCAGAGAGGTTGACAGCACGGAAACGGGCCCCTTCGGCTCAACTTGTCCATGTGCCCAGTTTTCGCAATGAATCTAGTCCCATTTTCCTGCGTTTGGTCCATATCCCTCCACACCTATCCCATCCATGTACTACCTAAATGCTTCTTAAATAACAAAATTGTACTGACCTCCACGACTACCTCTGGCAGCCCGATGCAAACCCTCATCACCCCCTGTGGAAAAGGTTGCCCTTCTGGACCCATTTGTATCTCTCCCCTCTCACCTTAAACCTGTGCCCTCTAGTTTTAGACTCCCCTAACATGGGGAAAAGCCGTTGGCTATCTATGTCATGATTTTATAAACCTCTATAAGGTCACGTCTCAATCTCCTACACTGCAGGGAAAAAAGTCCCACCCTATCCAATCACTCCATATAGCTCAAACCTTCCAGTCCAGGTGGCGTCCGAGTAGATATTTTCGCACTGATGATAGTGAGCTGCCTTCTTGAACTGCTGCAGACCACATATTTCTTTCTTGAGACTTTGTAGCTATTGATACAACTGAGTGGCTTGATAGGCCAGTTCAGAGGGCAGCTGAGAGCCAAAAACATTGCTGTATTCTGGAGTCGCATGTAGGCTAGACCAGGTAAGGGTAGCAGATTTCTTTCCCTAAAGGATGTGGTGAGCTAGATTGGTTTTTCTGACAACCAACAATGGTTGGACAGATTCTTAATTCCTGATTTTTTTTTTAAAATTGAATTCAAAGTCCTCCATCTGCTGTGGGATTTGAACCGGAGTCCCCAAAGCATTCGTTAATTTTCTGGATTAATAGTCTAGTAATAGGGCAGCACGGTGGCTCAGTGGTTAGCACTGCTGCCTCACAGTGCCAGGAACCCGGGTTCAATTCCAGCCTCAGGCGACTGTCTGTTTGCACATTCTCCCTGTGTCTGCGCAGGTTTCCTCCCACAGTCCAAAGATGTGCAGGTTAGATGGTTTGGCCATGGGAAATTGCCCCGTAGTGCCCAGGGATGTACAGACTAGGTGGATTGGCCATGGGAAATGTAGGGTAGCGTGCGGATCTGGGTGGGATGCTCTTTGGAGGATTGGCATGGACTTGACAAGCCAAATGGCCTGCTTCCACACCACAGGACTTCTATGATTCTATAATACCACTGGGCTATCACAACCCCATCTCTAAGCATCAGTAACTCTCTGAATAGGAGAACTTTGAAGATTCCCAACACTGTCAAGTGAAGAACTTTTTCCTTGTCTCAATCCCAAATGGCCAAGCCCCTATTCTAAGATTATTATGATCCTTAAGGTTCTATATTTTGCAGCCAAGGAGAAGCTATACTATCCGCACCTGCCCTATTAAATCCTGTAAACAGAGTCACAATTCCAGAACATCCCAAAGCGCTTACAGCCATGTATCCGAGACAACAAGTGCAGGGCTGGATGAACACAGCAGGTCAAGCAGCATCATAGGAGCAGAGAGGCTGACGTTTCGGGCCTAGACCCTTCATCAGAAAAGGGGGAGGGGAAGGGGGTTCTGAAATAAATAGGGAGAGAGGGGGAGGCAGATAGAAGATGGATAGAGGAGAGGATAGGTGGAGAGGAAACAAACAGGTCGAAGAGGCGGGGATGGAGCCGGTAAAGGTGAGTGTAGGTGGGGAGTTAGGAAGGGGATAGGTCAGTCCAGGGAGGACGGACAGGTCAAGGGGGCGGGATGAGGTTAGTCGGTAGGAGATGGAGGTGCGGCTTGAGGTGGAAGGAGGGGATAGGTGGGAGGAAGAACAGGTTAGGGTCTGCTGTTTGAATTTGAGCCATTGTTGTGGGAGGTGAGTCAGTGACTCTGCACACAGCAGGCTCCTCCTCCCAGCAAGGCACTAGAGACCAAACCAGCAGTTTCAGTGATGGTGGGTGGTAGATAAATAACAGACACACTACAGCAGGGCTCACTCACCAAGCTCTTCATACAAAAAGTGGATGCTGCATCTTATCCATCCACCTGAGGGGGCAAACAGGACCTTAGTTTAAAATCTCTTTTAAAACGCAACACTTCCTTCACAAGGTCGTGAGATGTAGGAGCAGAAGTAAGATATTTGTCCTTTTGAGCCTGCCCTACTGATCTGATAATCATAGAATCCCTACAGCATGGAAGCAGGCCATTTGAGCCCACTCTGACCCCCACTATTCCTGTAACCCTACATTTCCCATGGCCAATCCACCCTAACCTGCTTTGGACTTTGGGAGGAAACTGGAGCAAACCCACGCAGACACAGGGAGAATGTGCAAACTCCACACAGACAGTCACCCAGAGGGGGAAATCAAACCTGGGTCCCTGGTCCTACGAGGCAGCAGTGCTAACCACTGAGCCAACGTGCCGCCCAAATAATCTTAAAGTCCACTTTCCTGCCTTTTCCCCAATAACCCTTAATTCCC